CCGAAATCAGCCCTATGGAATCGGCGCTTTACCGATCACTGACGTATGTCAAGAAAACGGTACTCGACTCATGAGACAAGCTAAATTACACCTTATTGTTGACGACAACGAGCATATTTTTTTTTAATACCTTCGCGAAGAAAACCTTCCGTACATAGTACTTATTATTATTCCAAACCGCTAACTCCTATGCCACTGAGCGCTCACCCGAGTTGCTCGCTTGGAACTCCCAACTTAGACAAACTAGTTCCCGTACAAGAAATATACATTTTCCTACGTCGAACACAACAACGCGAAACTCCGCGTTGATTTCCACTACTTTTGTTCGTAAATACAAAACTTGGTTTCCACTGTAAACGAGCATTTCCTACTAATAACCTATACAACTTATATGTATACCTTGTCAGTTTACACAAAGTAGTAAACTTGTTACTTAACCATCAGTTAGGGCACCAAATAAAATAAGTATTTTGTTATCATATTTACCATGAAGCTTTTTGTATACATATTATATGAGCTTCAAATAAATTAAATATGTGACTGAAGAAAAAGTTACGTTGCGCTGATGTCGCGTTGCCTTCACGTCAAACTATGTCGTCTCACCTGAGATTAATAATGACTGAAGAACTACCTCACATGTTTGTATGGTTTTAAAACACTGCTAGGGTTCTTCAATTTGTCTGATTTGTCTTGAAGGTATCAGCTTCGTGGCGAGTCAATTAGTTCAGCAGATGAAAGTAAAAAAAAAAAAACAAATTAATTAAAATGACGCTTACAAACATAATCGCTAACAGAAGCACTAACCTCTTTAATAGAACACTAAGAAAGTTCTAATTACTTAAACAACTCCGAAAACACTCGAAGTTGAGCGAATATAACAAAAATAACTTAGAGCAAACAGCGTGTTAATCCCATCTCACCTTCAATTAGATTGCCTAAAGCAATTTGAAATTCACTAAACTCGTTTGCATTGAATTAAACTAAAAAGATAAGCGTTGTAGGTACTTAAAAGTGTACGAGTTACACGAAGTATTAATTTATGTGTACACTAAATGTGCCCGCGACTTCGTACGCGTGAAAATAGTTTGAAAATATTTTCCGTTTTTGCAATACTTTTCTTTACTGCTCCGCCCCTATTGGCTGGTTTATGGAATGGAATAAAATAACAACGACCAATCTTAAAATGTATGACGAGTAGATAGATGTAAAATGTAACAATACAATATGTTTGTGTTACTACCTAGTACTCGTATAATGTAGTGTAAGCTTAGGAGAATTGAACCACCTAACTATGACCGTAACTATAACGATAACCGGTGTTTTTAGTATGGAGTTTGACAGATTTTTGGCGTTTGTCAAAGTTAAAGTAATTAAGATGGTGCAACCCAGCCATTATTGTTTCGCTTGTTTGAGTACATAGCCAGTTATTACGTGGTTGCTCTTAGTTCTACGAAGGCTTTATTATTTTCAAAACCAATGACTGTTTATAACGTTTGAGTAATGATTTCACAAATGCTGGACAAGTGACAGCCATTTTACGTAGAATTGCCTTCTATCGACTACAAAGGATTTCAATTGAACCAGCAATTAGTAGAATAGCCTAATAAACTAATAATTATCCTTGATAGGAGATTTCAAGGTTTTCGGGTATATGAATTAATTAAAATATAGTTGTGCATAGTTCGTCGCTTGCCTCTCTAACTGACATAACTGACATTTTGCAAAATTTTCAGGTGATTAGACAGATCGATTCGTCTTGCAAAATTGATTAAGATGGTATAGATAGGTAACTCAGTTTCGAAAAAAATGTCAGACACGTCAGTTAGAGAGGCAAGCGACGAGTTGAGGTTTAAGTTCATTATTTAACTGTAATATCGCTCGCTTCATACCGATGTGAATATACCCCTAGAACCCCTGTAAAAAAACCATTTATAGATACGCTAACTAAACTTGACTTTTTGCTAGACTATGCTTATTATATATTATTATAGATTATGCCTTCTGAATTGAAATTTGGAACTTAGCGTGCTCATCTTCGACTCAACACTGAATTTAACTGATAAGTTCATATTTGACTATTAGTCAAGTCGGTAACGCAATTGTAACTCCTGGGGCTGCTGCGTTTGTCGTTGATCCGTCTGCTTTTTTAACTCCAGTTCCATGAAAAAATATGCAAAAAGCATGCTCAGGAGGCCCACTGCTGAACATAGGCCTCCCCCAATGACTTCCACATCGCACGGATGTTCAGCAGTAGACGTCTTGTGGCTGAAATGATGATGATGATGTTCCAGCCAAAAATCTCAATTCCGAAATCTGGCCTATAGCTATGTTAACAACTTAAATGTCCCGAAATAAAACGTAAAATAATTGTTTACGTACCTGCTTGAAAGGTTAATTTTACTTGTTAGTCGTAACGAAAGGCACTCATACTAAAATGTGTGTTTTAGCGTTGCTAGGGTGATACAGAATTACAGAGCGTTGACATTTTAAGCAAAACCTTTAGGATCCTACATTAGGATTAAAATTAGGTTCTGTTATTCCATGAAAATCTAACTACGGAGACATTGTAACAAAATTGGACTACGCATTAAGCAACTAAGAAGTATACGAGTGGATATTTACAAAGCTTCTACATATAATAAAATACATTGTGATAACAAATTAGTAGAATTTTGAGTACCTAGGTAACTAATAATTGATTGATTTTTTAGATCCAAGACATTTTAACCCTAAAAGTCTGTACAGCTTTAATTGAACTTTAAAATAACTTTCCCAATGCGAACTTCACAATTAATGGACTGTAAAAATTAAATTAATGTGTTTTTTTTTTGTTTTCAGGTAAATCACGATTGTCTACAAGAGAACTTCATTTAACTTTTTCAGTAAGTCATAATGATCATATTTTAAATATTTTCATAAGTTTTTTCTTTGAAGCGTTTGAAGCGCGACAAAACACGACAGTTGAAGTTCAATTTTTTGTCCTACTTAGGTTTTCATTGATGTGAACTTGAAGTTCAACGCCTTTTTTGCAACAAATCTCTAGAAGTAGCTCCATGTACTGTCAACTTTACCTAACTCTATAAATTGTTTTATTAAGCCTTAGGTACTTATTTGAAATTTAATTTAATGCTTATCACTTGAACCTACACATAAATTAATCTAATTTCGAGTGTTCTTAATAACACAGCTTTCCGAACAATTCGCAGTTACATTACATTTCTTCAATATAAATATTCCTTGTCAATTTATATGGCGGGACCAACATATAGCAATTTGTGACGCAATGTACCGTGAACCAAGCTATACGTCACAAAGGGTACGCCGATGGCGAATTACGCGATGCGGGGCGAAACGAAATTTGAGCTCGCTTCGGCTTGATAAACTTTTCAATTTAGTTTTGATGCAGGGTCTGTGCGGAAAAACGTCATTTGTCCCACTTCTGGGATGTTTTTGTCAAATAATTAATAGGCAATAATTAATTACACATACGGCTATGAATTTTGCAATCAGTACGATCTTTTGATTCATAAAATACATCATTTTCAACCGACTTCAAAAAAGGAGGAGGTTCTCAATTCGACCCGTATGTTTTTTTATTTTTTTTCTATGTTTGTTACGCGATAACTCCGCCAATTATGAACCGATTTGAACAAATCTTTTTTCGGCGTATAGGTAATACCTCAAGGGTGGTCCCATTTAAATTTAGTAATAAAAAAACAACCCCCAAGGGTGGAAAATTGGGGATGAACTTTTTTATACGCAATATCTCCGCCGATTATAAACCAATTTGAACGATTATTTTTTTGTTGAATAGGTATTATCAAAAGGGTGGTTTCATGCGAATTTGAAGAAAATATTTCACCCCCAAGGGTGGAAAATTGGGGATGAACTTTTTTTACGCAATATCTCCGCCGATTTTTTTTGGTCTCAGTGTACTGCCTACCTTCAGTGGTAACATCAAGGTAATAATCAGTTAACTAAAAAGCAAGAAATAAGTAAAATTTTATAAAAAAAAATAAAACCGACTCCAAAAAACCTACACTAAAACGTAGAAAAATAATTACTAATTACCTACTTATTTATTAGGACGAATTATTAATATTTATGTAGGTATACCATGATTGATAATTTTGGAGTCGGTGCAGGCAAACTTTACATGTTTCATAATCTTGGCACCGACTCCAGAAGTATCAATCATGGTATACCTACATAAATATTAAATTCGTCCTAATAAATAAGTAGGTAATTAGTAATTATTTTTCTACGTTTTAGTGTAGGTTTTTTGGAGTCGGTTTTATTTTTTTTTATCTTCCATCTGCTGGTTGTCCGAAAAAACATTTTGACCATACATACGCTAGTAGTCAATTGTATGTAACTGTTTAAGTTTCATTTTGTATTACGCCACTTTGTGATATTCTGCTGGAATTTCACTAATTTATTATATGTCTAAACCTTAGGTACTATAATTCTTAAAGTGGATACTTTGAAGCTTCAAATATTACTTACTTATTCTTACTTCTTCTTACTTTCCATTGTAATATGTGTGATTGTTTAAAATCTAATTAACATGTGAAGAAAATGGCGACTAACAGCGTACCCTTCACACACCCCTCGCGCTCGTGTTATGTCACTTATCCCTAGTAGCAAATACCGACCTATTGTCATTTACAACTAACTCATGGTAAGAATAATAATAAGTACCTAATAGCTAACTGAAATGGATAAACTTAATTTTCATATTAATTAAAAAAAAACCTCTAAAAAAATCAAATTACTAATAATCCTGTTAACCCATAGTGATTAGCTGTATACTTGTATTCGAGTGGGTTGACATCAATAGTCGAGCGGTGGGATCGAACCCACGTTCCCCGGATCACGAGTCGGCCAGTCCAACACCTTCACCGTTCGGCTATCGTCACTGTCCGTCCCGTTACACCTGCCTGATGTACAATAAACCGCTCAGAAATTATCATAGTTATCCATTATTTAAAAAAAATATTCAGCTCGGGAAGGATTTGAACCTCCGACCTCCATATTACAATGCAAATTGGATGCTCTAACCACTGAGCTACCGAGCCTTATGAGTCAGAGACAAAAGATGGCTAACCTTTCATCCTTCGATAGCATTGCTGCTAAACTAAACGAAATAGTTACAATACAGACAACGTTTTGCTAATTTAATATTCATATAGCTAAATCTTATAATTGAGTTTGTAGTATCTAAGACCTTTGTTACTATAGGTTCGGCCAAACCAACCCTGCGTGCGCGATGGCGATCCGTAGAAATCAGTAGGATACGAGTCAGTAGAAATCAGTTACTTTCTCATAGCGCTAAGGACTCAGCTTACAGACCCAGAGTTTTCAGGTTTTCAAGACAAGAAGATATCTGAAAAGTATCTAAAGGGCTACCTAAGTTTTCAACCGACTTCAAAAAAGGAGGAGGTTCTCAATTCGACCCGTATGTTTTTTTTTTTTTTTTTTCTATGTTTGTTACGCGATAACTCCGCCAATTATGAACCGATTTGAACAAATCTTTTTTCGGCGTATAGGTAATACCTCAAGGGTGGTCCCATTTAAATTTAATAATAAAAAAACAACCCCCAAGGGTGGAAAATTGGGGATGAACTTTTTTATACGCAATATCTCCGCCGATTATAAACCAAATTTGAACGATTATTTTTTTGTTGAATAGGTATTATCAAAAGGGTGGTTTCATGCGAATTTGAAGAAAATATTTCACCCCCAAGGGTGGAAAATTGGGGATGAACTTTTTTATACGCAATATCTCCGCCGATTATGAACCAATTTTTTTTGGTCTCAGTGTACCTACTGCCTACCTTCAGTGGTAACATCAAGGTAATAATTAGTTAACTAAAAAGCAAGAAATAAGTAAAATATTATAAAAAAAAATAAAACCGACTCCAAAAAACCTACACTAAAACGTAGAAAAATAATTACTAATTACCTACTTATTTATTAGGACGAATTATTAATATTTATGTAGGTATACCATGATTGATACTTTTGGAGTCGGTGCAGGCAAACTTTACATGTTTCATAATCTTGGCAAGTTGGCACCGACTCCAGAAGTATCAATCATGGTATACCTACATAAATATTAATAATTCGTCCTAATAAATAAGTAGGTAATTAGTAATTATTTTTCTACGTTTTAGTGTAGGTTTTTTGGAGTCGGTTTTATTTTTTTATTTTTGACGTTCGTTGCAAAAAGTCGAAATTGCGTTAAAAATACCAATTTCGTTTTACTTACTTCAACGCCCATTTAAAGCGTGGTATTTCGACTCAAACGAATTCGGAGACAAATGTTATTGGCACTCGCCAGTGCTTGCTTGAGACATTCAAAGTGAACTCCTCGGCAATTAGACGAGCGAACGATGTCAAATCGGCCCCTAACATAACTCTCAAGTTTAGGGTTCGCTTCCAGTGTATAGTTTCCTAGATTGGTTAAAATTATCTGTCTCAGACCTAGAGGTCCCGGGTTTGATTCCCAGTAGGAGCAGAATTTGCTGCTTGGCTTTTAGTAGGTTCTAGGTAAGTTAGTCTTTAAATAGTGCTACCACTATAATTTTTTATGAAAAATAAAACACTAAAATTTGGTAAAAATAATGGTTTCGGGTGTAAATTTTACCAAGGGTTCTTCTAGTTCTTAGGTCATGAAAGTTTAACATCGCATTTTATTGTCTTTCTATGTGAAGACCAAAGTATACAAAATGAATACGTATACCCAAAAGTTATTGGCAAGTCGAATACGGAGACAAATACTATTGGAGCTTGGTTGAGACATTTAAACAATGAGCTCGGCAATTAGACGAGCAAACGGTGTCAAACCGGCCCCCACATTAGTGCAATAAACTGACAATAACTTAATTCTGCCCCCGCGTGGGGACAAAGCCGCCGTAATGCAATTACGACGATCGATACGCAAAACGGTTGAGGAACGAATAGTCATCTGCTACTCAATTCGGATCTTTAGCGACTAAACGAAGATTCAACTATTGGTACCTATTGGTTGCTAACCAAAATATTTACCCCCTTACTAATAAAACTTACACGCTCGTTCAACAGTGTTTTAAAGTGACGTTTAGTATGAAAATGTCATTTTAAAACAGTGTTCAACAACTGTGTAACTTTTTATTAGTAAGGAAAGGGGGTTAATGTTTAATAATAAATCAAATCAAATCAAATTTCTTTATTTGCATAATTCCAGGTACATTAGTGGTCTTACATAGGTTTGGTAGGTTTCACTGAAATTTGCTCGAACTACAGTCTCTTGGTTACTGTTTTACTTAAAATTACATTTCGATAATATATATGAACGTTAATAATACGAGTTACTAACCGACAATTATATTAACTAGACGAAACTTAGGCTGGGTTGCACCATCTTACTTTAACTTTGAAAAACTGTCAAACTCCATACAAAAAACACCGGTTATCGTCATAGTTACGGTCAAAGTTAGATGGCGCAACTCAGCCTTAATGTAGGTACTCGTAACTTGAAAACTATTTGACTATAATTAGTCAATACCTAATGGTATGTTTGTATTTCGCTTGTTGATGATTGATATTTTGTCAAACTACCCTCGGATGATTATTTTTAGTGGAAACATAGAATATTATAGCTTTATTCAGTAATGATATACCTAATGACATTTGATAACACGCAATAAGTACTTCACAATTTAAACTTGATCAGATAATTCCTGAATTACATATTCAGTGACACCTTTCTTCATAGCTCACAACAGTCTATCAAAACATTCAAGATCCAATCTACCAGGTATAGAAACTACCTCATTTCGGCACTGAAAACCGGCGGCATAATAGATATTTTGTATTGTGCCGGCGACGTACGCCTGACGTGGCGTGATTGTGTCGCAGGTGAAAATTGTGAATATGCTTACGATTCCATTTTCGCTAGGTTCGAGTCTCGGCAAGTACGGTGACAGTTTGAGAGTGTATTTCGAATGGTTGCTCGTGAAAGTCGCGTTGAAGGCAATATAAACGTTTACATAGCAGATGTATAATTTAGGTTTTCGTCTACGCGGTCTTAGGAAAATCTCCACTTTATCCTAGAGTTATTAGAGCATTGCAGGTTTAAAAAGTCAAGACGTCTATGCGGATTCATCATCATCATCATCATCATCATTTCAGCAATAGGACGTCCACTACTGAACATAGGCCTCCCCCAATGATTTCTACGTTGATCGATTGGTAGCGGCCTGCGGATTAGTGGTACTTATGTAACTATACGAGTATACGTAGACCAGGTCTCGGGTTTGATTCCCAGCGGCAGCAATATCTTAGGAGTCTACAAGGCGATAGTGAATATGCACTGACAGGACAGATTTATGTATCATGTCCTAGACTGCATCTCATAGCTCACTTGACATCAAGTGCGATTGCGGTCAAATACCTGTCTTGTTCTGCTTATGAAAATTCCTTTATGCTATGATCCAAAATAGCATTTTGATAAGAAAACCAAAGTATTACAAGCTCTCGAAATTTTGTAATTTCAGACATAATTTTCATTCAAATCCAAACAGCGAATGATCATCAAAGAATGCCATTTCATATTCACATGTAAAAATGCTTTAAAACAAACCAAAAACTACTTTTAACATACATCTAAGTGTTAGTAATATTTAGAACCGACTGGAGGTGAGTAAAAGTTCCAAACTCGCGCTAAGTGCAGCTCGCAAGTTATGCAATGGCGCTCGCACTTGACAGCGTTATAAGTTAAGTACAATCGATAGTGGATACCTAAAACCGTTACCTAGTAAAATTGTGACCTAGATGAAAAGTGGTTATTACCTGTTAGGTCAAAATGTGGTCAGTTTTTAGTGATAACCGCCTGGTTTTTCACCTGTTAGTTCAAAACGTCGTCAGTTTTTAGTGATTACTGCCTGGTTTTTCACCTGTTAGTTCAAAACGTCGTCAGTTTTAGTGATTACTGCCTGGTTTGATGTAGGAAAAGTAACTTCTTAGGAATACAATGTTAGTCAAAAAATGGCTATATTCGTCTAAATCTTCTCTGTGATTAATGTATTTATGTATTTATATTTTATTAGAAGAAGCTCTCTGCAAGATCCAAAGCTTGACTGTTAATTTTGTGCAACATTTCAAGAAAGTGGTAACGTTCCAAAACAAGACATAAAGCCTATAATATGTGTCAATACAGGTACATGTTCATTGCATTATAGCTATAGCATTACAAATCTATATCAAAAAGCGAAAGGTCACTGATTGACTGACTCACTCATCACGAAATCTCAGAAACTACAAGTGCTAGGAGTCTCAAATATTGCATGGGGGTTCTTTTTAGAACATAGGTGCTCACTAAGAACGCAACGAACACCCCTAAGGTAAAACGGGAACCACGCGTACGAAGCCGCGTTAAGCTTGATGCGCCATCTGTACCTAAATTAAAACAACGATTATCCTCATTCCGACCACGAGTCCACTGAACAGAAACATTAATACTATCTCCTTTTATGTATTCATGCATTATTTAAATAACTCCGTGTATATCACGGGCAATAGTGATGTCTGTCTATATTCGGCTATCGACAATGCATTTTAAGAATCTATTGTATTAACGACAACATTAATTATTATCTAAACAACAACACTGTTTAAGCAAAAATAACATCTGGCCTTATAATAATAGGATCTAATATACAAAATTAATTTATGATGAGAAATTGCCATTAATTTGATCTCATAACTAAAAGGATAAAATTACTTGTGAAAAGTTTTTTTCTCAGGGGTTTGTTTGGTTAAAAATATTGCAATTGTTCGAGAGAACATGATTGCTTATTTTGGAGTTTCATTAAGCTAAAGTCCGATTGAGCCATGTTAAACGCCTATGACGGCTCATAAAGACATTCCCCGGTGTTACGACCCAAGTTACAGCCCACTCGATACAATAATATCGACAACAAAACTGTCGACGTCGCAACAACACTGCCGAGCATTGAAGGAATCCTAATGGACACGATAGTAACTCACACTAAGTGGTTTTAATTGAGTGTAGGGTTACATGGCATTAAAATAACGTAAACGCACTATCATTGTGGTATTTGGGATACAACGTTGTAATATGACTGTTTGTTTTGGCCTGCAGTGTATTAATGTTAAGCTTTGTAATCACGATCTAAACTTTTCCGTATGTAAACAATAGTTTAGACTGGGTTGCACCATCTTACTTTAACTGAAATAAATTTCAAAAGTCTGTCAAACTCATACAAAAAACACCGATTATGGTTAAAGTTACAGTTAAAATAAGGTGGTGCTTAGCCTAAAAGTTTTAGGGAAATTCTTAAGTAAGATCATTTTATTCGGAAAAGAAAAACAAAAAATGTCCTTTAACTTTTTTTGTTAAGTGACAGCCAGCCAGCCAAAAATGCATAATTTTATTCTAGTTGTAAAGTACTGTAAACCTTATACCTGTCACAGACAGACATTTTAATTCATGAAACAAAAAAATAATTAAAATTGTAATGCATAATAACGTTTCATTAATAATATTTTTCACCCAATAACACATTGAATTCCACTCCCATTATTCAATATCACACAATAGCACCGAACCAATTAAAATAATTATAACGAATTAATATTTTGCTATTAATTTGTAAATTCATATTTCACACCTGTCACTGTGAAACAAAAAACAACCGAACAAAATGGAGTCATCCGGTGTACTGACGAACGAACCCGTAGTTTTTGCCTATTTTCGGATCCATAAATCAAATTGGACCTGTGAAAAGAAACGTTCAAGAATTAGTCAATGGGATTGTCTGTTTTTTGTCCTTTTTAAAGGACGCTAATGCACTACTGTATCGTGCGAGAGGATAGAATCAGTTTTGGTTTTAGTTCTTCCGGATCAGAGGATTATGTTGAATATTCTAACTAGAATGGTAGTGGTATCTTAAAATAAGCATAATACCTACTTCTCCTAATATGAAAATGCGAAAGCAAATGATATGTACATATTATCACACAAACGATCGCTTTACCAAATTTCATCAAAATTGGTTCAATGGTTTTGAGTCCCGCGAAAGAACATAGCATAGTTTTTATCATGGTTTAGGAAACAGGGACGCGCGCGATAAAGACAGATTTTTTCTGACAAACATTATTTTACGCGGACGATGTGGGGTAAAAGCTACAATATGGAAAAAAGTTTCTTTATTGTTTTATGTCTACTAATACATATTTACTTTGTTGTGTGAAGTATAATCACATACCTACATGCAATACAATTATATCTAACATACAAGGAGTATTATAAGTTCAATCTATCAGCACTTCCACTTTCAGAGTCCATTCATTATATTCTCGAACCAGTGCTTGTACGCCAGCGGGCTAAGTTTGGGAATGGAGCGATAAAAAATAGTAAAAACACGCCCCGCCGAGTGACAGGCCGATAAGACGGGCAGGCGACCACCGAAATAGCGTTTTAAGAAACACATTAACTTTTTGTCCCAACTTATCCGCCACCCTTTTGTTCAAACATATTTTTATGATGGAAATTATCTGTCGACAACGATAAAAAATGTACTCGAATACCGCGGGTAGTTTGCTATCTACGAGAATTCCATTACTGCAATTTGTATGCTGCAAAACAAAACGCAAATTCGCTACGGATTAGATACGAAACATTGTAACATATTTCAATATTTTCAAATAACAAAACGAAAAATATTTAGATATTTTTAAAACTATTCACAAAATAAATGTGAAAAGGATACAAAAAGGCAACATCAAAGCTTAAATCCAATTGAAGCAGCATACTGAAGCCTTTGATGTAACTGCGCGTATGGAACAACATAATAAATAATGTATCACTCTTATTAGTAAGTGGACCGCGTAATCCGAACCATTTGAAACTAAGCGGCGAACAGGAAACAGCCGGAACAGGCGTATCGGAAACTGGAAAATAAACATCCAAACTTAACTCGCCACTTAGCTCTAACATACAATAAAAACAACAACAACAAACGCGCACTTGAAGTGTTATTCGCGTGTTTATTATTAGCTGCAGTGCATATAAACAAGGTTACAACGAAACGTCGCCCCCGGCGGTATCGATGCGTCGACGGGCGCTTTTTAAAAGCTAACCCGTCCTGCAAGAAAGGGATGGAGCGCGAGCACGTGGGAAGCGGATTCCGAACGCACGCACCCCCGCCTGCCTCACCCCCCGCCGGCGGGCTCCGCGCACTCAGTCGCGCGCCGACCGCCGTGCGGGCAACACCTCTAACCGAACCGCGGCACGACGCTCCAGCACCCGCCCTGACGTTGTGCAGTGACCGAGTGGAACGCTGTGATTTGTTTTGAGTGTGACGTCACTGAGTGCAACTTGTGAACGTTACATAATTGTGTTGAGTGCACTATGCGGTTGTTTGCAACGTTATGAATGGTCTGGACCGCTGCTTCTTCGATCAACGTAAGTTTGTGTTTTGATACGTGCTGATTGTGCGGAAATGGTAAATTCGTTCGCACTGCGGTTTGTAGCGGCTTTATTCGAGCTTAATGGTACGCGGTTGTGGTGTATCAATATTTTCAGCGGTCGCTCATGCAGCGTTCGCTGTGTTAATTATTTTCGGAATTAATGCATTCGCGATGACCGACTTTAGGACGTTTGTGACACGATAAACGTTTCACTGGGTCGTCCCAATTCACGTTGGACTTTGGTGTAATTTGTGTTTTGACTTGAAAAAGTTTCTGTAAATATTTCATCGTGTAGTTGAGTCTTAAATCTTACATGCAATGCTGCACGTAAACTGTAAATAAATCTTTCGTATGTTTCTACAATCTCATAAGTGTAATACAAATAAACACGTTTAACAAATTTTAAACACCCTAAAAGTTGATTAAGCTTTAAAGAAAATGTGATGAATTTTCAAACCAAACAACAAATTGTGTGAAAACGAGGAAATCACAATGTTGACTTAGAACGAAATCGCGGCGAACACAAACCAATCCACAGTAATAATTCGAGTCAGTGAACCTGACACTCGAAGAAATACACATAATGGTTCTCTCGTTGTCTCTATCGGGAATCTGTGAGAAACAGAAACATTTGTAGACGTTCGAGATAAGTAACGCACGGTTAATGACAACGGCTTCATTTGAGATAACTTAGCTAACAAGAGCAGAGACGGGGCGGTAAAATAAATTGGTGATGATTTGTTCAATTAGGGCAGCGAAGGGCCACAAGCAATACGATTTGTTGAAGAATCATTGAAATTGATTGAGGAATGCAACTCTAGTGCCGTAAATATTCAATTGGAGTGTAATAATAACGGAGTAGTGCCGTCGAAATGTAATAATCACAAGTGTTTCGCGTCGCTTATAAGTTGCCCGAAGTAATGCGCTGCTTCCCTCTACTCGAAATTAGATTTTGTTACGCGAAATTGAAAGCAAACGATAAATTACCGGCGTGGAAGCAAAAGGACCGAAACTCCATTTGGAAATTTTCAGGAAAATACCCATTCTGGGAATAGGCAACGAAATAAATATCCTGGAATGTTTTAATATTTTCTTATTTGTTCACAATAAAAGAACAATATTCCAATAAAGATAAGTATTTCAAGAAACGTGACATCGTCATAGTAGGACACGTTTACTTTCTTTTAAATATTCATAAGCTACTGGCTTCGTTTTAATTACAAATAATTTACCGCTAGCTAATAAATAATCTTATAATTGGATTATGATTCATCAAAGCAATTAAAACATTAATGACAAGTATTTGTATGTCAATTTTCCTTATTTATTCTAACAAAATGAGGGATTCGATGAATCCTTATAAAAATATAAATATAAGGATATCTTTAAACACATCGCGAGTGAAGTCTTATCAAATAAGTATAAGAAATGTCCATGAAAGTGTCGAGAATTTCAAAACGTACGTAATCGATAGGTTCTATAAAGCAAACAAATCACGCCTTGTTGTCCCAACACCTTCGTGTTAAACACACATAAATCTCCAAATAGTGAGCAAATAATAAGAGTAAAAAAATATTTAAATAGTCCAACGCAGGCAGACCACCCGCGCGATCCAGCCCGTGCTCTCCACATCACGCACGTCCCCATTATTATCAAAGAACCTCTGTCCCACCCGTTCATATTCAGTTTTTACTAAATTTACATCTTTCCTATTCTTTTCTTCGGTTGTTTTCGTTTTGGGCACCACACGAGTATTGTTTGCTGTACCTTGACAACTCAAAAACGCTTCATCATAACCCTTTGTTATATGTATATCCTGTTTTTAATACAATTCACCTTTATCGATTACATTATCTGCTACCGGCAGGATAGGTTTTTGTCCATTGTTAAAATTGTGACGCGTCATGATATGGTGTCAAATTTGTTGTTAGTAATTTGTTAATGTGTTCCATATTCAATTACTGAACCTGATTTTTATCGGATGTTGTGAATCAATATTTTGTTGTTTTTTGTTAACATATTTAAATTCATTTGCATGATAATATCATCAGGGTTCAGGGAGAAAAAACGTTTGTGATTCATCTGCGGTTACACAGTTCCGAACTCACCAGTTGTCTGCCATTCCAAACGTCAGGGTGGCATGTTTAACTTTCTGAGTGACTGCAACAAACCTGCACTGAATCTTAACTATTTCCCCTCAAGTTTCCGGTTAATTTAACGCGAGGCAACACATGCATCCAAACGCAAAGACAACAAGAACTCCCACGTGTGTTGAAACAACAAACGTTCCCAGAAACACAATGTCACTAGACAAAAACATGTCTCCCTAATTGTCCCCATGATTACAACATACCCAAAATTCTAGCTGATAATTATATGATCTAACACAATGTCTTAAGAGTGACTATAATTACGAGTGAATTCGACACGGTCGGTGGTTCGGACGAGCCGATCAGGGATGCATTTGAGATATAAATTTTACTACAGCCAATAAAAGAGTTACGGTTAGGTAAACGATTGAAGTTAAAGGAAATAAAAGGCAATACTTTCATTCATTGTTTGATGCGTTAACGGCGGTCATAAAATGTGGACAAATTGGTTTTAAAGGACCCTCTGCCTTGAGGGTTTTTTGTGAAGTTTATTGCGATACAGGATTGGGTAAGCGCCGTCTGCCTTATTCGGTAATGGTCCGTTTCCTATTTTGGATTGATGCCCATATATTCACCGCGGGTTTCGCAATGTAAAGCTGAATGCAGTGTACGCGTCCATATTAATTTCGTCGGTGAAATTTTTGCGCAAATAATAAAATTTTGGTTTGTAACTCGATTTTGTTTTAACTGTTGCCCATTTAATCGTTACTGCTCGTCGCAAATTAGCACTAGTTTTATACATTTTAGCATTTCGTGTTTTGTAATTTACGTTAGGATTCCAATATTTCGACGTATTTTATTGTGATGCCAAATCAAATTTTATTAATCTAACTTTTGATGTTGAAATTACGTAGGATTTTGTATTTATTTACTAGGGTAAATATCTTTTTCATAGTCCACTGCCTTTTAGTTGTCAATTTGTGGTAATGAGTTAATTAAGTATGCTCACGGGCAATAATTACGATCCTAATACTGGCATTGAAGCTCGCAGGACGTGAAATTAGGTTAGGTACCAATCAGTCGGGATGCACCCTAGAGATAAATATGGCGGATGATGTAACTACGCGGAATTTAGTCAAACACACTAAAATAAAGTAAAACACATTGTTTGTGAAAAAGATTAGGGACAAAGTTGAAATCAAAATGCCAGAAACGTTCAGAACACGTGAAAGAAAATTATAATTTCTGCAAAAATCAAGTGAAATATGAAGACTATTGTAAAATATTCATACGATCGTTCAACTACTTCTGTAGGTAGGTTATTTTTATGATAATCGCCACCAATTTACACGAAATGCATACTTCGATTACATGAAAATATAAAATTTCGAACCGAAACTTTAATTACATATTTCAGCCCAAATTTGTAGGTACCAAGAAGTCAATTTATTATATTCCCTATATTTTATCTCACAAGAGTGAACTTCGCGGATTGTTCAAGTATCGAGGAAAATTTGTGGAAAATGAGCGAGCCGATATGAAAAATATTTTGCGTAAGAATTTATGAAAATGTGTACTAGCTTCTGACCATGGCTTTGTTCGTCTGGGTTTGGTAAAAGTCATCTTTTTATCAAAAGCATAAATATTAATTTTTATATTCCAAAAATTAATAATATACTACCCGTTCGCGCTAAGTTTGCCGGTTCGTGGAATGCGCGTCCCCTTCTCCAACCGCGATTAAACACAAATAATTAGTGAGTAAACGCAATTGAGTGTTTTATTTTACGCAAATACACAATTTTTATCAATATTAATAAATAAATATATTTTCAATATAGTTTGGTAAAGTTATAGCCGCTTTCCTTCCAGTGACGTCATATCGCCAGCGGCAAACTTATCGCGAACGGATAGTACTGAATCTCAAATTGTAAAACTCTTTCATAAAACTACATCAAATTGAATCTAACAAGCAACTAATGCTACGCATCTGTCAAACTAAATAAGGATTGAAACAAAACAGCTCATATTGTGTAACCAGCAACAAAATAATGACCCGTATTTTCTTATCCGGTAATATTAACCAAAAACGATGGTAACATAGTACCAGGACTACCAGGCATGTGTTCCAATGAATATATGAATAGTACATAACCCTTACTTGGTATGATTCAATTTTCCGTTACAATGGCTGACTGAATGGGTAATGCCCGCTATTATCATATTTGTGTTATACTTAAGCTTGGGCGCATGATCGATGAGGTGAATCCAAAGCCGCTTATGTTTTAATACTTGATTGGTGGTATAAATTACTATTATGGATTAACATTCCCGATTTGGAGCGAACCGGGCTGGAAAAGTGGCGCTTGAATCAATGTAACAGCCACCGGCTAAGAAATTGGTTTGATTATACTTGTTACGTATTTGTTGGTATTGGCTTTAGCGATGATAGCCAAAGGTGTCGGTCTATATTTGGAGCACTAGTTTAAAATGTATTTCTTTGATATAATTGACTTCCATTTCCCAAGAATGGGCATAGATTGAGTATTGAGTATAGATTTTACTCATAAGAACTGAGTGATTAGATTTGGTGCGCATAATTCGAACTCCAAAAGTAAAACTAAAAGAGATTTAAATTAAACCTGAACCAAAACATTTGCAAGCTTCATTCAGAGCTTTTAAAATACGCAACAACTTCCATTAAAATAGGGTAATTGCGCCGGTTTTCCGTCCAGCTCCTGTTTTCGTCCATTTGACCGACTTGCCACAAACAAATACGGATAATTAGAATACAAACCTAACTTTCCGTGCAAGTTTGGACTTGTTACAATCTATAATATCTAAGTAACAGTTCTGCCTGCATGAAAATGTAATTTGATAAGTAATAACTCCAAAAAAATCTACGGAA